CTTTCATCTTTTATTTTACTTAGTAGTAAAAAATTAATTCGATTATTTCACTCTCAAATCTGCATTTGAAAATATAGAAAGCAAGTCTGTGTCATCATACTTTGTACTCTATACTTGGATTATTTTGTTACAGGGGATGGCTACTAGGGAAGTATTACCACATAAGGTAAGAAAGATCAGAAAAGATTAATAAGCCAGACTTTTATCCCTTTACCCAAGACTACTTTTAAAAACGAGCAATATTTCCTCAATTGGACTAAATTTTACAAAACAATAAAATGTGGGAGTCTCAAAATGACATTACTTCTTAAAGGCTCAGCAATGTGCACCAAATGGAAGGTAACAGAGACCTAGTAGTGGAATCTCCACGTTGCCTGAGGAAAAATCAACTCTAAAATGGAGAGAAATATCCCAGATGTTACATAAAAATACACCAATTTGAGTTTTCATGACACAGGGTTCTGTTTACTTGAATAACAGTTTAAAATGATGATCACTCATGTCTTAATCTAAATTAATACTTTTTGAAGAGTGTGGAGGGAGTTCCATTCGGAAATTCATGCAAATGAACTAGAGGTCCCCTGTGATAATCTCCTGTCACGGTGTATGGTTTATTCGTCAAAAATTAACATGCCTGGGGGGTTTATGTATTTTTTTAATAGCATGGAAACCAGATTCACGTGTCCTTCAGTCACCTATTTATTAGATTCTCTTCATTTGTATAAATCTGCCAGGATTAAGATACTGTGATTTCTGTCATGTTTAAATGCACTCCATGAGATTTCCATTTTTCTTATTACTTATAATAAATGCATTCTCCCCTTTATAGAGATAGGTTTTAAAGACTATAGTAAACACTTACTTATTCATTTTTATAGGATTTTTTTCCACTTGGAATAGTAGCACTATTATGAATTAATATTCATTGGGCAAACAGGCTTTCTGGGACCAGCACATTTTCTTACAGTACTTAAGAAGCTAAAAAAAGAGGAGTTGGAGCTGGGGGTAAAAACAGCGTATGGGTCTCCATAAGTTCCCTGGAGATGATGTTTTTATCACTCTTGTATTGTCCCCATGGTGAGATATATAAAGGCATTTAACACATGATGGGAAACAACTTAACTATGAAAGAACAAACCTTTTCACAGCAGATTTATAATGAAATCTTAATTACACAGAATTTTGAAAATGCGGCAACTATTTTTTTTAGACTTAGTAATGTAAAATGCATGACACGCTGACAAACAGTCGTGAGGGTGCTCCAAGTTTTGCTGGTTAGTCATGTGTGTAAGAACAAGTATTTTTTTTTAACCTACCTATGTGTCTTTATTAAGTGCTACCTTAATCCACTTCAGGATATAGTTAGGTCTCTGAGGAAAACTGAGCAAATATCTAGGACATTCAGATCATAAACCGAGTTTCTCCTGAATATTCAGAAACTTGGCTGAAGGTGCCATTTTGTTGTCTTGGTGTTTTTCCTGGGCAGAAGAGGACAAGCTATGCACGTGAGAGGGATGAAGGAGCCCAGGAAGGTGAAGGACTGCATCTGACAGGGCGAAGCAGATGAATTCCACATGCAGAACACAGAGACACGACTGTGCACACTCCTCTGACTTGGCTACGTCAGAGTAGAAAATCCACAATGCACATGGTGTGACATGACATTGTGCGCCTGCTATCCTCTGAACAACGAAAACACTTCCTCTTGACTCAGTGGTCCAGTTATAAGACATCTATCTTTGACGTCTGGTGCCCAATTGCAAACATGATAGGAAGAGAAAGCAGAAAACATCCTATAGCCCATGCATGGCTTTTTCTCACTGGGATAACTAAATTGCTGGCTTGAAACTGCTAAAGCAGGTGTGTTAAAACAAAGCTTTGTGGCAGCCTAAGCTCCTCTGGTCAGTGGGGCTTTGGAGAAGGCCTTACAGAATAATGAGCAGGACCTCGCAGGGCACGGAGCAGGGGAGGGGGAGAAGCGGGGACGGGAAGACGCGGGGAGGGGGAGACGTGGGCAGGGGGAAAAGTGGGGAGCGGGAGAGGAAAATGGGATTCTCTCTATAAGACTTTATGCCTCCACTCACATAAAGTCCTTACCTCCGTGCAAATGAAAAATGGGCTGAGGCACTGGGGGAGAAATTTCTTGGACTATCTTGAGGGCTATTTCCTAGAGAGAGAGAGAAAAGAGAAAATTTTACTACACGATTTTGTTTTTGTATCATTTCCACCTCAAGAATCCTCTCCTTAGAAATAAGTTGATTTACATTTCTGTAGAACGTCCTTTCCTCCAATAATGCTTTAGTTTTACCTGGACCAGGGATGGTGGGGTGGGCCGGGGGGAGGAGATGGGGATGGGGGAGCATGAGTTCCAGCACAGCTTTCTTAAGTGTGCGAGACACATGAATAAACACATTCAGCTATATCACCAACCAGGAGTCCTGCATGGATATAACAATACAAATATTTCAATCTGATAGAGTAATGAATATATACAAGTCTTGGTTGTGACCCTCCAGATGCGAACATTTCAATGAGCAGGATGCAAGGGTAAGCATATGCTTCAATTGGAGGTGTCTTCCATTTTAGCAGGCAGCCTTAGTACTTTTTGTTTACAGTAGACTGAATGAGTCTGAGTTCCTGAAGATGAATCCTCATATTCTGAAGCACATATTTTAAAGGTGGATGTGTCAGAACTAGTTGTAAAACATTGGGAAGACCACAGCAGTTTGGACCTATTTCTCAATGACCCAGATCTAGCTCAGCATTGCCAAGTGGCTCAGCAGGATTACCCCTTGACAATATTTTCCTCAACAATCCCTCTGCTCCTAAGCAGCTGGACTGTGACTGACCAGGCGGCCTCAAAAAGCCACAGCCACACAAAGGCTGGCAGAGCTCATCTTCCCCAGGCCTTCAGGGGTGGCGTGGAGCAGTGATTGCTCGTTGGAAGGAGGGCAGCTCCTCTGGGGCTTGTTACTTTCTCCATTAGCCCACTCAACCTGCTGCTGATCATTGAGAAAGCTTGGCCAGCAGCTGGCGAGGGCAAGTTCAGGACGCTCCAGACCACCCTGCTTCCCTCTGCATGTTTAATTAGATTGGCAGAATTGTCTGAGGACCACATGGAACTGTAGCTGGTTTAAATAAGTGGGCAAGGAAAGGCTGCAAAGCAATCCTGTACCTTCTAGAAAAAAGAAAAAGGAAAAATAAATCAGGAAGCTACGTTTAATCCCTAACAGCAAGTCAATTGCCACATTACTGGTTTCTTAATGAAAGTGACTACTGTAATTGGGTGTAAGGAATACGAGATTTTACGTCAAAGTCAGTACCTGGCTGTAAAGGTAAACAATTTATTACCAGTGTGCAGAAAGAATAGACTAACACATTAAGGAGGATACATTTAGTGTTACCTTGAGGACGTTTGGACTGACTATATCTCTACTGAAATTCTTCAATTAACTTAAGGTTGCAAATTTTATAGTGATGTCTTCAACAAATGCCATTAACTTTATGACAGACAGCACAATCACAGCCATTTAACTGGGAAGCGCTGAGAAGCCCATTTCTTTATGGATAGAGAATCATGAAGCATTTTTCCCCCTGCTGCAATGAAATTTATCATGGCTTTGCATCTGTTATTCCTTGGGCCCCTGGAGAAATGAATTCTGCTTTTGCCATCCAGTAATCCAGGATTCATTTTGTCCATTTATCTACACAGCTAAATTAAGTTCTTTCAACTTCTCTCAACAGCCTTCATCCCCTCTCCTGACACCCCTAATTTAGCTTGTATATTTATCTTCATATTCCTTAAAAAATCTCAAATTTCAAGATGGCTAAAAATTTTGTTTCCTAAAGGAAATAATCTAATGCCAGAAATATTCACATAAATTTTGTTTTTCATTTGGGAAAAGTGTTCAATTTGCTCACACACCATATAGAGCAAACTACCAGTAAATAATTAGGCGTAACACAACAACTGATTATCTGAAGCCAAGACATTCTAAGAACAGTCCCTGCTACACCTATTCACTTAAAATGAAATCATAAGGCTAATGAAACCTGGCACCAAATTCTTAGCCCTGTGTGCTTTGTAAAGAAAACACTATATCTGGAGATTTTAATGTGATCAACTAGAACAATAGAGAGCCTATTAATATATATTTTTTAATGTGAAGAAGGAAGAAACAAGGAATTGACTTAAAACCCTTTTCACTTTTCGGGATATTAGTGAATGGTTCCCATGCTGACCCATCATCTTCAGGATGAACAGGCAGAGACATAGATAAAGAGGTGAATTTAACTCTGCTCTTAAAAAAAAAAAAAAAAAAAAAAAAGCAAGGTTGCCATTAACCATTTCGCATATTCAGATTTTGCCCTCGCATCTTAGGCTGCGTTTCTAGGTCCATCGCTTGAACATTTTCCTCATTTTCTTCTCATCTACTACACTGCTGTAAAATCTAACTTAAATTCCCACATCTTCAACTTCAAGACTATAGAGGTGTTGGTTCTAGCTTACTAATCACAGATGTTTTTGTTTCATATCAGGCCAAAAAGCTAAATTAAAATGCAAATATATATACATACCTATCTTTATACACACACACACACATATATACACACACAAACACACACATATACATACACACATGAATTATCATTAAGGCTCTTAACTGTCAGAGGATATTAGAGAAAATGAGTGAGAACGATGTGGGCTAGAGAAACTGATAATTCCTTAAGGACAAGGGACTCTAGCTCAATTTGAGGGCAGTTTAGTAGGTTTTAGGTAAGAGGAGAAACAGAAGGCGACTTAAGGAAGGAGTCAGAAACAACTCAAACACAGTAGGGCAAAGCAATCAAGACAGTTTCTCTGGCTGAAGGGAATTGGGCCTGGGAAAGCCAGTGAGCTGTTTATTGGTGCTGATTAGTTAGAGGCTTTAAGAAATACTTGGAGGCAAGAGAGAGATGCCAGAGATTCTAAGCTGGCCTGAGTGTACTTGGTGTGGGTGGCCAAGGGAGTAGCAGAGGAGGAGGGACCTAGACTAGCACATGGAAGGCCAATAGAAAGGATATTCTGGTGGGCAAACCAAGCATAGTCATTAGCAGATTAGAAACAAGTGAAAAAGGATACAGGCTAAAAAAGTGACTGATGTTTCCAATGTGGGTAGATTGGGAAAATGACTGATCCCCTAATAGGAAATTTAGGGAGAGAAATGGAGTGGTGGTGGTAACAGAAGAAAAGGGTAAATGAGCATTCTATAGATTTCTGTGTTACGTATTACAGAAATTCCTCCATTTGCCTTAGGGAGGAATTATAAGACTAGCAGATTTGGCAGGTAGAAGTCAATCTTTGAAGTCTTTGTTCTTATTTGAAATAAAAATTAATTCCTACTCAGTCTCTGAAGACTTAGCAATACTATTTGGTTATACAGTGATCAAAATACTGCTAATTTAGAACAGGCCAAATTATAAAGCACATACTATACATTCCAAACTCAGCAATGAGGACTTGGCTGCTGGGCATATGCACAGTGCTTTCCCAGGATGAGAGCAAGAAGGAGTGAAACCTGAGTCCTATACATGACCTTCACTCCTCATAACACTGCTCTCTGAATTCATCCACCCATCTGCAAAGCAATACCTGAGAGACTCCCAAATGAAAACTGGTGCCAGTTAATTCTCTGCCCATATGTGCAGCACTTGCTTATAACTAAAATCCTGCTGCTCCCAGGGATTTGCTGGCTCTTGGATGTTTGAGGGCTAGGATACTTTATAGACTGCTGGCATCGCTGCTGCTGTTTCTGACCTGGTAAAGTAAACCTTAGTAGTGGTCAGGCATTAGGTAGGTAATTAACTCCATGATCCCCATGGGGAACTAGCATGGCTAATACATAAGCAGTGTAGGAAAAACATACTTTACCTAACGGCACTACACAGGGTGCCTCATTTTAGCGGCAGCTATTGTTAAGAACGTGATTTCCAGATTAATTAAATTGTTTGATTGCTTTGTAATTAGACTGGAGAAGTCCTGTGTCTTCGCTACGAGAAGCAAGCTGCAAATCTTTTTAAAAGGCATATGCTATGCCCTCTATAGATTATTAACGTGCTTTTAATAGCTGTCTGTTTGTGAAATGATAGTTTCTGATGACTTGAATTTCTATCAGGACTGAGGGAATCCAAGAATGAATGATAATTGCCATTTAAACTCCTGGTGGATCAAAGAGTAAGCCCTCATTTGAATCCCTGTTGCCATTACTTGATGATCCCCTTAAATGAGTTGTGACATTTGCACCATAACAATCAGTGCTGTGTTTCTTATTGCTGTGTTGGAGATTCCTGGCAAATGGACACTGCTTAAAAATCCTAAAACCAAACTTCACAGAATCAAACCTAGGATCTCCTTGTATGATGAACACCAGCAGATAAAGTGGGCACTGGAACACGATGCAGGAACCTCAACCAGAGTGAACTCTGTAAAATAACAGTTCTGTTCCCCCGAGAACTTTGAGTCCATCTCACCAGACCCAGACAGGTGACTCATGAAAAGAGCTAGGAATCTCCCTTTCATTTAGACACCTGTCTCCAACTGGCTCCTCTCCAGATATCATTGTAGAATATTAATTAAACCTGGGCAGCTGTTTTGATTCTAAGTGGCCAAGAAAAAACCTTGATTGGCCGTCGGTGGAATTCTCTGGGTAAGTTGTCAAGTGTTCATAGGCAGGCCAATGAATAGAAGCAGACTCATATGCTTAAGTTTCAAGTAAAGACAGAATTATACACAATGAATCAAGGCTTTCTTATAATCTGGGCTCTCTGAATCTTTGGTTTTTCCTGTCCCTGTCTTATTGACCCTTCCATAGCTATAGCACCATTACTCACTGCTTGACTGATTGAGCCAACAAGTATTTACTAAACATCTACTCTACAGAGAGGGATAACATGATTTGATTTACATTTTAGAAAGACCCTTCTAGCTGTTCTGCGGCCAGTGGGCTTTAAGCAGGCAAGAGTGGAAGCAGGGGGATGAGTTAGGAGGCTACCAGCACAGACAAGGTAAGAGAGATGTTGATTTAGATAAAGTGATTGAAGAGCTGTTATGTTTTGGCAGCAGAGCCAATGGGATTTGCTGGAAAATGGGATTGCGTGGAATAAAGGGGAAAAGAACGCAAAGAAGAC